CCGACTTTTTTTTTTTTCTATTTTGGTTTTTCCTTTTTGGTTTTGAAATTTTCATTTGGGGGCACCTCTAATTTCTAATTTCCGCTTCACGCAGTAAAAGTGGACAGGAAGTCCTGAAATCTACACTGGTTGGGGGGAGTTTTCTGCCTCAAATCCTCTACACTTGACTCCTATAACATGCATGAAATATAATGTATCGTGCTTTCTTTATATAGCATGCTGCTAAACCTCTAATATGTTTTACATTGATCTTCCAGTTTTTAAGGTTCTTGTATGATGGAAATGAACAACAACAGGACCCTGGCCACCGAAGTAGTTCTTTTGGGTTTTTCAAAAAATCCTAAAATCAACGCTGCCTTGTTTTTATTGTTTTCTGTGGTCTACCTCACAACCATCATCGGAAATGGTCTCATGATCTGTATCATTTTGATCAGCCCTCACTTACATATCCCCATGTACTTCTTCCTTTGCAATTTATCCTTCATCGACTTCTTCTACTCCTCCACCGCCATGCCCAAGCTGTTAGTAGACCTCGTTTCCAGAGACAGAACAATTTCGATCGCCGGTTGCGGCATTCAAGTCTATATCAGTGTTTTCTTGGGGGATACGGAGTGCTTCATCCTAGCGCTCATGGCTTACGATCGATACGTTGCCATCTGCCGCCCTCTCTACTATCCCATCCTCATGAGGTGGAGTGCTTGTGTCTGGTTGGCCTCCTTTGTGTGGATTTTAAGCTTTTTAATATCCGTGGTTCCATCACTTCTAATGCCGATGAGAGTTTGTAACCCCAACCAGATTAACCATTTCATGTGTGAGGTTATAGCCGTCATTAAGTTATCGTGTGACAATATATATGTGAATCAGCTTGTTATATTCTCAATCAGTTTTTTCACCCTTCTTCTGCCTTTTACGCTCATTGTCTGTTCCTATGTTTGCATCATATCATCAGTCCTAAAAATTCACTCCGTCGAACGCTCTAAAACCTTTTCCACGTGCACGTCTCATATCACCGTGGTGGGTTTATTTTATGGGACGGCAATGGTCATGTACTTCGGGCCGTCGTCTCAGTACTCGACAGACCAAGAAAAGTTTATCTCAGTGTTTTATGTCCTCGTCATTCCCATGCTAAATCCTCTCATCTATAGTTTAAAGAACGAAAAGGTGAAAAAAGCTTTTTTATTGGACAAATCCCTTTCTCGATCATTGCAATAGGATCCAGGGAAAGATCTGGGTTGGGGGGAGGGGGGGGCATTTCCCCCTTGGGTCAGTATGATTAATATACAGTTTTGAGAACAGGGAGCAAACAGGCATACAATGCCCAGCATTGATAACTGGCTGCTGGTCCCTTGAGGTCTGAATAGTTAAAGGAGAACTATAGGGTCAGGGCTTTTCCCCATAGTTCTCCTCAGGGTCACGGGAGGACATAAACTAGCGTCCTCCCGTCACCCAATGCTCAGTATATCGCGAGCTACAGCTCGCGATATACTGAGACCGCAGCAGCCGGGACGGATCCCGACATTACTGTCGAGATCCACCCAGTTGCGTGGCTGACAGCTGGCTCTGCCTATCTAGAGGCAGAGCCAGCTGTGCCCGTCCCCTCCCCCATCCGTTCCACCAGTCAGCGCTGGAGGATCGGAGCGGGGAGGGGGGAATCCCTGCAGGGAGCCGTGAGTGACAGTCACGGCTCTCTGCAGGGAGATGATCGAGAACTGAGCAAGCGACGGTATGTGTTCGCTCACTTCCCGATCTATTGAGCCGACCTGTGACAGTCTCATTGTCACAAGTCGGCTAGAACTATGAGGTGGGTGAAAATCACTCGCTTCATAGTTCTCCTTTAAGCATCTTCACCAATATACTGTATATTGGTCTGGTGGCCCTGATGATGCTTCACCATTCGGATCTCAAGCAGTGTGGGACCTGCGGTCAGTAAGCAATGCTGGGCAACCTATAGCTTTCTGCTCCCTGTGCTGACCTGTGCTCACGGCTTTTGGCAGAGGTCTTCTAGCACCATCTTCCTTTGCTCTAAGATGTCCTGTGGCAGATAGGCGAGAGCTGATGTTAGAAGATGTCAAAAAGTGTGTTGCAATGTAGAACCTTGTACTTTTCCCACCCAACGTTCACCATGGCCACCAATCACTGCAGCACCATGGCATAGTTTGCAGGGTACACTTGCTTTACTGTCCATAACATGAAAGAGCTGGTTGGTTGTGATTCTCCACACCCCCCAACGGGCCAAATGTTTTCAGACCTTCCCTGGTACGTTTGTGGTGATATTCCTTGACATTTATTTAAAAAGTATAGATATTTTATTATTTTATTTTGTCACGTTGGACATGACATTCGAACAGTTGACCGAACAAAGTGCCTACAAGTTGCCAACAAAGGCCATACAGTCCGCACTTAACAAACTTACTATTACGGACATAATACTACAGTTGCCCAACAGGTCTCCCTCTTCCTCCACACTCAACACCATTGGAATCAAGCAGCAATGAAGTGACTGCAGATACTAAGCACCTTTTTTATGTGTGTTTGAAAATGCTCTTAAAAAAAAAAAGAAAAACTGCAGAAACAATAAATGAAAACACGATGCACCAAATTGTAATGACAACTTTTTGTCTAATATAATGAAGATTTAAGGACAGGTAAGACTAACGTCATAGCGGGCCTGGGGCTTGGGGCCCGGTAGTTCTTCATCAAATGTGTTTGACACATTCTCGGTGTATTGGCTGTCATCGCCTAAATATTTGCAGTTACACCATTTCCATTTTCGTTGGCTTTGGCATGAGAAATGTTTGTCACAAAGGTAACACTGGTGATAAAAGGAAATTAAAATGGTTTTAGGGTTAATCTTAATTACATTTTTTTAATGCGTATGCATTTTTAAGCTGGTAAACATAAACATATAAACAGGGTGAACCAGCATTTAAGAGAGTATTCTGGCTTTCTATACAGGGAGCAAAGCAGAACCTGTTTGATTTCAGGATCTCAGATAGTAGTTAAAATGAAGTGACATTAAACCCTCAGATTTTTTAACATAAAACAAAACTGTAATGTGCGCCTTACTGTAATCCATGGTTGTTTCCCTTCTCTTTGCTGCTCTTCCTTTTAAATCCTCATGTCTTCTCATGCTTGGGGAGAACTTCCATTTTCAGCTCAGGGCCTCTTCCTGTAGTGCTGGCTCAGGTTTCAAGCCTATACAAACGGATACACAGACACCGTGTATCCATTACAGAGACAAGGCAGTCTGCTGCAAAACAGAAGTTCTGCAGAGCATGAGAACAGATACAGATTTAAAAGGAAGAGCAGCAAAGAGAAGGGAAACAACCATGGATTACAGTAAGGCGCACATTACAGTATTGGTTTATGTTAAAAAATCTGAGGTTTTAATGTCACTTTAAAGCAGAAACTCAGACATATAAAATAACATCTCTGTGTATATACAGGTGAAACTCGAATAATTAGAATATCGTGCAAAGTTCATTTATTTCACTAATGCAACTTAAAAGGTGAAACTAATATATGAGAGAGACTCATTACATGCAAAGCAAGATAGTGCAAGCCGTGATTTGTCATCATTGTGATGATTATGGCTTACAGCTCATGAAAACCCCAAATCCACAACCTCAGAAAAGTAGATTATTACATGCAATCAATAAAACACGGATTGTACATAGAACAATATCGGACCTCTGAAAAGTACAAGCATGCATATGTACTCAGTACTTGGTTTGGGCCCCTTTTGCAGCACTTACTGCCATTACTTTTGCATGATATTCTAATTATTCGAGTTTCACCTGTAGTAATAGAAATGTGTACTACTTATTAAATTACAATATATATTTTTTTTAAATGTAAGCAGTGTGAGTACTTGAAATTGACTGCAGCGTTCACACTCAGGCATGCTTCATTCATTAGTTGAAATGGCATGTGCCGTAATCTTTTCTGCCAAGGCTCCTGGCTTTTCAGAAGCCACAAATCAACACACCAATGCACTTACAACACACACAGATTGTTTGGTTATACAAATAGACTGTAGTATAATATTTAAAAGAAAATAAAAGAATTGCACAGGGCATAACCTTTACATTGATGCATATAGAAATAAATAGTGGCAAAAAAATGTCCCCTCCTCCCCCGTGTAATACTCTTACAACTGTTTTGAAATAGTATTGTAAAAGGGACAGGCTCAGCTGGTAGTGGCAGTTGTAAACCATGCATGAGACAGGGACCCCTAGGAAAAGTCCAGCCACCTACCCCCAATCTCACCCAGAGGGTGAGATTGGGGGGTCCTAGGTCCTTAGCAACCTAGCCATCCTAGGTTGCTAAGAGCTCTTAGCAGCCTGTGACACTCCATCCGGTTTCCCGCCCAGCTCGCTGGCTTCCATGGTTGCCAGGAGCAGAGCTGGACCCAGAGCATCCAACCTCCTCTGCCTGAAACTATCATTCACTGACAGCACCACACAACCCTCCCCTACAACAACCATTGACTGCACAACTAGTCCCTCCCTCCCCCAGGAATGGCCATTCACTGCCAGCACACCACCATCCTGGAAAGTCCATTGACTGACAGCACAACTTGTCCCTCCCCTCCCCCCGGAATGGCCATTCACTGCCAGCACACCACCATCCTGGAAAGTCCATGCAATGCCAGCAAGCCACAACCCCCCCCCCAAGAACAACCATTCACTAACAGCAGACACCCCCATCCCTGCCTCAGGCGGTGAATAGTGTAGGGACAGCCCTGATCCCACCCACTTGCAGACTGTTTTTTTTTTAATGCAAAGCAGTAAAAGCCCACTTTTTCATTTACCGAGTGCGTGTCCCTCACTGCCGCTTCTGAAGTCTAATCCTGGCACTGGGGAGCCAATGTGAAGTGTCCATGCCACCCAGGGAGTGAAGTATATAACCAAACAGAAAAACTTTCCACTCTGCTGTAAGAAGAGAAGACTCGGAACTCGGCATGTCACATGAGTAAAAGCACAATAACCTACCCCAACCAATCAGACTCATACTGCTCTGGTTTTGGTAAAGTGAATCACAATTGGTTGTAACAGACAAATATGCCTTTGCTATATGCTACACTCAAAGTGTATGTCTGAGCAAAATTATATATTCAGTACATTCTGCAAAACATGCACATCTCACTATGTTTTACCCCTTTAAAGACTCTGTAAGTACAGAAAAATACCGGTTGGTCTGCCAGATATCCAGAGAACTCCCAACTTCCTGTAAGGAGATGACAACGCTGACTCTGGTGCATGGAAATCTCTACCAATGTTGTCATCTTGTCCAGTTCTCTACTGTTGGATTGCAGAATACCTTCCCGCTTTTTGTTATGCAGATGGAGAGGAGGATGAATTCTGTATTCGAGCAAGGGAGCAATTTTTTAAATAGGGAATGTGCATGTAATGGAAAGATGTACTGAATATATTTTTCCCCCAGACATACTCACATGTCAATAAAAGACTGGAATAAATACTGCATTTCTCTGACCCTACACCATGTGTCTGGGGAGGTCAGCAAGAACCAAGGTCATTGTCAGCAATAACAAAGGAAGAATAAGTCAAGGTCAATCACTTTCTATACCAATACCCTCTATACCCTTGGTTCTAAACTGGTGGGTCATGACCCAAAAGTGGGCCGCGACTCCATGTTCACTGGGTCGCCTCGTGCCTTTCACTTTTCTAGGCAAGAGGCTCCTCTGCCTCCCCCTAGCGCAGCACTGTCAGTTCTCGCCCGCCAAGCAGCCATTCAAAATATGCTGCCCGGTGCTGAATGTCAGCTTGAGGGGGGATGAAATGGGAGTTATGGCCGCGAGGGAGCTCCATCCATACCTGCATTGCTTACAGCTCCCTCACGTGTCCTGTAGAGGGGCCTGGACCGTAGTGACGTCACATTCTGATTCCAGGCACCTCTACAGGGCACACAAGGAGCTGTACAAGCATTGCACGTATGGATGGAGCTCCGTCACAGCACAGCAGCCCACACTGGACCCCAGGCTGAGGATCCACTCCATTTCTTGTAAGGGAGGGAGACTGGGTGGACCTTAAACAAAATAAAAAATTAAATGAAATATTTTTGGGAGTGTGGATGTGTGTGTGAGAATGTCTATGAGTGTTTGAGGTTTTGTCTGTGGTTGCATATGTATGCCGGTGTTTTTGAAGGCCCGTTCACACTAGTACACTGCGTTATATCCACAGTCCCAATGC